TTTCCCATCGCCCACTCCTGCCCTGCCAGCACCTTCTTCCCTCCCCACACCTTCCCCATCTTGGCCCCAGGTACCAGCTGCCATCAGCAAGTACCTTCGTGCTGCTCCAGAAGGCTATGCCCTTTCTGTGCACGCTGTGCCCCCTTCTGGAAAGCTCTCCTTCATGACCCCCCCTGGCAGACCTCCATCCAGTGCAGATGCCAGTCTCCGCAGGAAGCCTCTGCCACTCCCGTCAAAGCTGCTCAGGTCCTAGGCCTCCTCACGGAGCAGGAGGCCTGCCAGAGTCTTCCCCAACCACAGGAGACGGCTCTGACCTGGTCAGGCCCCTGAGCTCCCCCTTCCTGTGCACTCCACCTCGGTCAGTGGTTTCACCTTCTACTCCGCTGTCTAAACAGAAGACCTTGACATTTTCTCCAGCTGGGAGAGCCTGGGAAACAAGCAGTAGTTGACAGTGGATGTTTCTCAACGAATCCACGTGCCAAAGAGGGGAGCAGTGGCCTTGGCAGTGTCACCGATCACATCGGCGTGCCATCCGAACCTGACATCCCGTGGAAGAACTCCCTCTGCGCTGTGCAAATAGCTGGCTTGCTTAAACATTCCTGGTCACCACCGGCCTCGCTTCTCATCACACCTAATCTCCCAGGACAGCCCCACCATCTCGGGAGGCACACACTGCCCAAACTGCCCAACTGCTTTCCTACAACCGTCTTTAACCTTCCTTCTAGAGTCACGTACAAGTCAAAATAACCCTTTAAAATAGCTGATGGAAAGGTCCGTGATCTCCCCAGGTCTCCCCAGCAGCCTCAGTGAATCTCATTTGGAGGGGCCCTCGGCCTTCCCAAGTTTCCCAGGTGCCACCTTCCAGAGGTTTCTCACCTCCTAGATGATGTCCACGACATTTCCCTTAACATAGCCTCCGAGGACATGAAAGATGTTAGAAAGTGGAGCAACTTCTGAGAACATCTCCATGATGGAAGGGTCCAGTGAGATCCCACAGCATCCGAGCACTGTGGGCAACGTGTTACTGTGAGGATGACTCCTTTGGGTGGAGCAGATAATGAAGGCCTAGGCAGGGACAGATGACAGCCAACAACCAAAACATGGACGCAGAAGAATACGAAAAGCACACTTCCAACAGCTTTATCCCTTCCCTGCCTACCAAACCCCTGGGGGTCTCTCCAGCAGCAATCACTGGTCTACACTTGATTACAGAGTTCAGTTATGGTACCAAAAAACGGTATGGAAACAGGCACAACAACAATAACAGAATAGGCTGCCAGGCCCAAGGTTAACCAGTCCCCTAAGCCCAGGGGCAAGCTAACAGTTCCTCCAAAGGAACCAGAGAAAGAATAAGCCCAAAGTCTGGATTCTTTTTTTTTTTTTTTTTTTCTCCACATGGCAGGGGGCAGGGCGAGAGGTGGAGCATTGGTTTTTGCTTGTTTTGCTTCAAACCACACAGGGTATGTCCCAGAAGTGTGGAAGAGAGGTAAGCAGAATGCCTCAGAGAGAGGAAGGGAAACTGGGCAGGCAAGCAGTCTAGACCAGTAAGACAAACCACCAGTACCGAGCACAGTGCTGGCAGAATGGGTGGGCTCAGCCGCTTACTGCTGTATAATTTGGGGCAAGTCATTTTGGCTAAGCCTTCATTTCCTCATCTATAAAAGGAGATCATTTCTAGATCCCACAGTTGTTGTCTAATTCAACTCTCGTCCCCAAGAAAGGGCTTCTGTTAACTCCAAAAACAGTGGAAGACATGTCATTTCTTCTGTGTGGTTAAAAACTCATTAGGAGCCACAGCGTTTTGCCACAAACAAGCTGGGTGATCTGGAGAGCTCTCTGGGCTTCAACAGCCTTGCCTGCTCAGGAAGAAAAACAGTCCGTGCCCGGCGATTCTCCACACTGTAGGGGCAGGGTGGGAAACAGATCGGCCACTGGGAAAGAACAGCTGCTAAGCGAGTGCTGGGCCAGGTACTCACTCTCCTCACACAAGTCACTGCTCTGGAACTCGTGCAACCTGGGTTTAAAACCATTCCTTCCTCCTGCTCCCCTCTAGCATCACGGCAGGTGGCGCAGAGAAATGGCCAAATGCCAAGGACAATGACTTGGGGTGAGGGAGGACTGTCTTTCCCTGGAGAGGATTCTGCCTCCATCCCCACCCCCACCTATCCCTAAGCAGAGACCCAGGTGGCAATTGTTAGCAAAGGAGCTGGCGACATGGTCTGCAGCAGCGGGAGACTCAGCCGAGTTCGGAAGAACGGCTCAAGTGCAGCAATTCAGAGACCTCAAAGCCATCCCAGCAGGGCTCACCAAGCACAGCGCAACCTAGAGGGCCACCTGCGACCTTCAGGCTGGCCACCTTCCCTGAAGCCTAGTCTGGGGAAAGTCCTGGCAATCGGAACAGGCCACTGCAATCCGGCACTCCCCAAGCTCTGTTCAGCACAGGACGGCTCCCGACACTTCTACCCCAAACCTGGGTTGCCGGCCCTCCAGGCCCCTCTTCCTTTTACCCTGTGAGTCAGAACCTTGCCAGCCTTGAGTGTCTTGGCTCAAATCTTCTAAGACATCCCCATCACCAATCTCAGGCCAGACAGAACATATACGCAGGAAGCATTAGCTAAATGAAAACCTATACCTCGAGTTGTCACTGATATTCAAACAGAAAAAAAAAAAAAAAAAGCTTGAAATACAAGGGCTTTGTTTATACAACCACACCTAAGTCTTCCAGCCTATCTTTCCAGTTATATAATCTTTCCCAATTGGTCTCACAAAAAACAGCCCTATTTTTAAAAGGCCAGGATATCTGGTCCAGAACAGCCTCAAGTCAGAGAGCCTGGCTTCCAGCACAGGAGGCGCCTGTGATCTCAGGACCCTGTGACCCCATGTGAGGTGTGAGGCCCCCGCTGGGCCTGGCCCACGGCCTGCACACCTCCTTCCCGCCACCCGGCACGTTCCTCCCCTTTGTCCAGACGGCACCCACAGCGCACACGGTGTGGTGAAAGAGGCTTTGGCATCGGACGGACTGGGGTTTTGTTCCTAACTCCAGCCCTGAACCCTGAGCCTATTTTTTTTTTTTTTAATCTGAGAATGAGAATACCACCTCCAAGAAGGTTGTTTGAGAACAAGGTCCAAGTGCCCGGCACATGCAAGAGAGTAATTTCAGCATTTCTTCCTTCTCTCTCTTCTGCTCCTTCTCCAATCTACTGCTGCCCACAGCCCAAAATGACCTAAACAGAAGGCTCCTGTTAACTCCATTACCGGAAACATTCAGCTGACATGTGCAAGCAGAGACCATCCGTCCCAGCCGTACAGAGACTCGAGGCAGGCTGAGAGACTGGGCCGCAGGCAGCGCTGAGAGAACGTCCGCAGGCCTGCCGGGCTAATCCCGTGCCCTCCTAGGGCCAGAAGCAGCAGAAGAGGTGAGGACCACACATCTCCAGCCAGGACATGCTGGTCAGTCTCCCGTCCACTGCCTGGGCAGAGCGCAGAGGGGCGGCCGCACTTGGCAGAAATGCCAAATGGCAAAATTCTGCCACGAATCACCAAGACCCTGCTTAGAAGGACCAAGGGGTGAAGACGTTAAAACTGATTGGTCAAGGGGGAAAAAAAAAAGAAAGGAAGAAAAGAAAGGCCTTCCCTCAACCTTGGCTCAATGAGGAAATGACTCCACCAAACGGCCACAGCTGAGGAATGGGGGAACCTCTTGGATTTAAGAAAAGCCTCTTGCTTTGGGGGGACAGCGAGAGAGAGGCCGTTGGAGCCTCCCCTGAAGCTGTTGCTGTCATGTCCCCTCCTCTCTCACTTCCCATCGCTGGTACCATTAAAAAAAAAGAAGAAGAAGAAGAAGAAGAAGAAGGCGGCGGCGGCACGTCTTGACTATAACGCAAATCTACTTTATTTGCCTTTAAAGGTAATGCTCAGTCCCTACCGACACAGTTTTTATAAACTTGGAGCATCCCAGAACTCAATCTGTAATCCCCACCTAGCATACGTCGTGCCGGTGGACGGGGATGCACCCGCCCATCCTTCCTCAGAGGTGCCTGAAGCCTGTGCAGAAAGGGACAGGACTATGCTATTCAACCAACAGCACCCGTCTCACCATCTACCCATCTTTCCTTCTGCTGAAGAGAGCGGGATGGAGAGGCAGATGTGTTTTCTGAGAGAAGAGCAAACAGGGGAGGCCTCGTGTAGCGAGGAGTGCAGATTATTTCCAAAGTGGTGAAGCAAACTGGGAGAGAGAAGCTGCGGGAATGCTATGAAGGGGAGTGGCGGGGTCAGCGGCCTTCTAAGCGTGCAACCCAGGCTCCTCGGTCTGTGGTTTACAAGAACTATCGGCCCAACACCAGTGAGCTCCAGGCCTCGCTGAAATCACGCACCTCTTTTTTCTTATTAATGTACTGGTAGGAAACTGGGAATCAGCAGGTTGATATTCTAAGCTCAGCCCTTTTGAAGTTCTAAGCACACTTAAATCCCAAAGCAAGGATTTATGAATCCCTGGCAGCAGACTGGCCAATGATTTCACCACCTCAGCAGAAACACGGGCACTCTCAGTCAGCATGGGTGTGCAGCGACCTCCCCACACTGCCTCGCTCACCAAGCATTTGCTCTGTGTTTCCTGTTTAGTCCCCCGATGCCAGGAGTCCTCTCTCAAAGACTGGAAGCACCTGAAACCTGCGACCACCAAGGAACCAATGCAGCTCCCCTGAGTAGGTCACCCACCTGCTTCTTAGCTACCTGCCAGCACAGTCTCGCTGCCCTCACATACCTTCTGTCACTTCAGCCAACCATGGCAGGAACCGCCAACACTGACCGAGAACTTCTGGGCACCAGGTATTATTCAAAGCACTTTGCGTGTATTAACTCTTCCGATTCCCAAGCCCCACGGGAATTTGCTGGAGGGAGAAAAGTCCTTTGGCCCAGATTCCCACATGGTTTCTAGTCCCTATTTCTAGCTGTGCTGTAAAGCTTACATAACCTAATTTGCACTATGGTGCTATTTTTTTAAATCTCCAAAGATCACTGCTTCAAGTATCAATGGAAGCTGTTAGCTCCTACCTAAAATGATAATGTGGGAAAGGATCTCTATTCTTACAACTAACTCAACTTGAATTCTTGACTTAAAACAGTCTTTCTGGAAGATGGGATGAGGAAGGGAAGAGACTCACTCTTACATAAAAAGTACTAGTTTGTGCCCTGGAAGTAACTGCTAGAGAGAAACATCAGACTGAAACTCACCCCAGCAGCAGGCAGTTTCTGGACTCTGCAGCTGTTATTCATTTACTGCCCGTCTCCCTGCCAGGCCTCCTTCAGACACTGAGAGACCTATGGTCACCGCATGGCGTGGCATCAGAACCTTTCTTGCTCTGAGGACTTCAGAGACATGCTACATCCTGCTCCCCACCACCGAGGATGCACTGGCCTGTGCTGAGTGGGAGGTACAGGAGGACCATTCACAGAGCAGGTTGTTTTCAGCTTTAACTGCTCTTAATGTCCCTAGTTTTTAGGGCCCTCGACTACTAGAAATCCAACTGCTGGGGGAAAGGGTGAAGGCGCATCTGCAAGTCTTAGTTTGTGTCCCTAACTCACTATTGAACATTTACCTCCACTGCAGTTATTAAAGAAATCTAATAAACAGGCAAGTTATAATGAACGATTGATTGTAAGGGTAAAACTCCCCTCACTTGTCGTCAAAAAAATGTGGTCAGTGTTTACAGCAACCACTTTGGTCTTTGCTATACTATAAAAACTGCTTAAAAAGGACTGGAATAATTGTTTTTCATTTCAATGCATTCACTTACTTGGAGAGAGGTCCAGGAACATAAAACAGAGTTGGTTTCAGGCTCTCAAAACTGCCAGGGAAATATTTAAAATGAGTGAATTTCCAAATGATGGCCATTTCAGTGGTGTCAGAGGGCCTATATTATTAAATAATGTATAAATAAACTGCTGATCAAGGTCATTATCCTTTGACACTGCTAATGCATCTTCTGTCTCCCAACGTAGGATATTTATAGTCAACCCAATTTCACCAACAAGGACACTCTCAGACTTAAAATGCTTTCACTGGGCAGAGCCTCTGTTTTGCTAGTGCCCGGAGAAGGATCTGGCACATAATGGACACTCCGCTGTTGGATGAGAACGGGTACCTACGTAGTCCTCATCAGCCAGGCCTCATACAACCTTTTATGGGTGCCAAAGCCACGTTTGACGTACATACAGATTCTGTATGGGAGAAACGTTGTTCCAGCAACCTTCAAAGTTAGTAATAAAAAGAAAACCGCTACTGAGAGACACATAAAACATGAAATTTCATTTTAATCTCTATATATATGAAATACGGCCTCAGCACAGAACATCTATCACATATGAAATGTACTTATGGGACACACTAAATGAAGCAAATCCTTATTAAAATATTTGGCCTAACCCTCACATCTTGTAAATGAACTCCATGATGGTTGAGGAAGGTGGGAAATTAATCGTCTAGCTACCTGACCTTGGAAAAAGCTCGATGAATTGCCTGAAGTCTATTTGGTCTCTGCAGACTGGGTATTTACCATTCTGAGTCTTGCCAGAGTTGGTTCTGCAAATAGTTAGCTTAATGACAGTCAATGACATATTATTTTTCCATAGTTACCTTAATATTTTGGTTTTTTTTTTTTTTAATTTTCTATTGCTTTTTCTTTTTATGGCTTCTTACTGCTGTTGTATTGGGCATACAACACAGATCAGAGATTTGCATTTCTCAGAGAAATTTCTCTCCTTGAGAAATTGGCACTTTGATCCTCTGCTTGTGTAACAGCTACATATAAATGGATCCTACCAGCACTGTTACCAATCTTGCTGCTTATGAAATTCTAGCACTTTGGCCCAAAGAGTGCCCTGACGTTAAAGTCTTCTTAGGTGACTCTTCCCACCACCAAACTCTTTTACTTAAACAGGTGTGTGTAATTCACATATATGTTATATCATAAGTTTCTACACACATATACACATTTAACTTGTAAAAGTGAAATGTCTCTCTTGAATAAAAAGTAATTACAAGGGTATTAAAACAAATGCTGAAAATAACTATTTTACATTTAGATCATAAAAATTTTAAAGGTAATCATGATGACATAAGACCTAAGAGATCAAATACATCCTGTATGATTGTCATATATGCACGTTGTGTTCATTGACGTTTTCTCTTTAATCAGAAAATAAAAGAGCTTACCTTTGTTTACTGAGACCACAGCTTACAGTCACTAGATCTCAGCCTATTTTATACAAGTGATATGGCTACGAAGGTCCGAGGAGAACGAGAATAAAGTGAGATAAACGTGCTGAAAACTGCTTAAAAGTATTAACCTGAAATACACAGAGGGCCCAACACCAGTTTTAAAAATACATTAACGAGGTATTCCCAGCTCTTCAATTAATAACGGTGACTGACTGATTCATGATTTTCAAACATTCACCCAAATTTTAAAAAAAGAAGGAAAGGCTAATAGCAGAAAAATCTATCAGTGGTTTGTTCCCAGGTTAACGATTTCTGTGCGACTACAAACGACTCAGGACTCCTTGCTGCACGCACCATGCGCTGCATCTAGTCAGCATGAGGTATGTTGGGAATCTATTGGACCAATTACCTTGCACAAGAGAGGGGGTGCTCCTGCAGCCGGAAGAAGCCGGGGCTGCAGGCCACATCCCTGGCTGGGTGCCAGCCCCCATGCAAAGAATATGGCTTCAAGGAGGACCCCTATCTCTGAGAAATTATAATAGCGCTAACTGACGCAGTCGGGAACGCAACTACCCGAGTTATGTGCTAAAAAAGTTTAAAAAACTGTCAGAAGATAGCACAGCTCACACACTGATTCTAAGTTCTCCATTGGTCTGTAAACTCCCGGACAAGAGACTACGCTAGGAGGGCTTAAGTACAGATATTGCTAGGTTTCCAAAGGAGAAGTTTTAAAACAGACACCGTGGCTTTGAATAAAAGTATTGCTCTTCTGTAAAATGCTCAGTCATCGCTTTCCAAAGAAGGTGTCAGAGTGGTGTATCTGAAAGCTGGAAAGCCTCAGGGGGTCACAAGGCTCTTAAGACCAAGACAGAAATTGCCATTTCAAGCCAGACAACCTGATGGTTCTAGAAGTCAGAGAAGAAATCTTGAGGGCCCAAGTGAATAATAAATGGTGCGACGCTCAGAGGCTGGCAATAGGGGCTGTCAATGAAAAAACCACCTACAGTGGAGAAAAGAGCAGAGAAGCAAAACTTGGTGTTAATTTCACAGAATTTGGTGAAGCCAAGAGCTTCATTTATATTTCTCTGCTCTTTCAGCTGTAAGTGGAATTTTCATTACAAAATGGAGGGGGGGGGAGGGCAGAAGGTGGGGAGGGGGACACTTAATTCATTACAAAATTTAAACAGTTGAACTTGCATGGTTACCACTTCTAACAGAGGACTGACAGCTCAATTATTTTAAGTAAAGCAGAGAAATGTAAAAGTTTGCAGCAACTGGGCAGGTTTACAACATGGTTAGTAACTTCCAACAAACAACAAAATTAAAAAAAAAAAAAAAAAAGACTTGGTAGAAACCATTTGAAATGACTGCCATCATGTTGGAAAACAGCACAGCTCCCTTTTCACCATTATAGAGGGGTTAAATTCCAAAGCTGAGTCAGCTACTTCAAAAGAATTTTCTAAAGAGAAATCTCCAGAGAGATTCCAACTTGGAATGCAAATTTGACGATCAATTTCAAATAACAATACAGCTGCAGCTGCCAATTAATAGTATTCCAGAAACAAAAAGGACTATTGTAAATATTTAATTAATAAAAACTGGACACTACCAGCCATGCTTTTTCTTCTCAGTGATGGCTCCGTTTCATCCATAGGTCAGCAAAATGAATCAATGAAACATGAAAACTCCCAGCTGCAATGGGCCCTCTTGTTTATGTCTAGCCACTAATGCACAGGATGAGAATGATAAGTTCACAGCTATTTCTAGCAAGTGATGAGGTTTTATTAAAGTATCACCCACCACTAATAAAGACTAAAGGTCAAGGAGCAGAAGTAACAAGCCATTTCGTAATAAATACACATCTGAGAAGTGACACTGACGTTTGTTTTAAATTGCCCATCTCGTTCTCATTTAGTGGTCCTAGAGAAATCTGGTACATAAATTTGCAGTATTTCATGAGGCCCATTCTCACTGATGGGCACTGTTCAGCTCTGAGAAGCAGAACTGAAAAGGGAAGCTAATTCGTACTCAAAACGGACATTTTTAAGACACAGCGACTTAGAAATATCCACAAGGGACCACACCGGTGCCTTCATGGGGGTGAGTACCTTAATGAAACCATTACCTTCTAGTAACATCATAGGCTTTCCAAACAAGGCGAGAATGCAAGGGGAAGGCTCGGGTCTGCACCCTTTACAGGACAGCACAATGTTACCGACTGATCATTTTTCACCAGCTTAATCAGATAAATTTTAAGAAAAACTTAAAAATAAATGCTGACCCATGGCTGAAACCTGTCACTTTTCACAGCAGCACTCAACAAGAACTGGGACAATCGAAGAGCAAGTTTTTATGGGGACCCTGTTGCTGCTTTAGATTCTGATGTAATTGAAGAGGAAAAGAGACCTTTCAATGAATCCCAGAAAAATCGCTAATCTTCTATCTGCATGAAAAAAGCCAGGGAAGTGAACACAATATCTTACAGAGTGAAGAAGGCCACAAGAACAAGAGAGGGTGATTGATCGATTAATTTATTCTCTTTTAAAACTTGGAAATTAGGAAACTAAAATAATCACATTCCTCCTTCCCCATCTCTGGGTAGTGCCATCATCTGAATAAGCAATGCTCAGATAACAGAATGTACCTTTATCATGGGGAGGCCCTTGGACAGCAGTACAAAGGGCTTACAAAGTGAGCAGACTGGCTCAAGCTAACAATTGCCTTTGCTTTGTTTTAGCAGTTTCCTTACAAATGAATGGGTTTCGAGGGCTAAGTTATTATTAGTTTTCAATTCCTTGTAATTTGATACCAAAACATATCAAAAATAATAAGCTAAAACAATATTCAAACCCATATTTTATTGGCTTTAATTACACACTTCAGTATTTACAAAGTTAAAGTTTAAATGAAAAGTCTCTATTGTACTGTATTAAAAAAAATAACTACAGCCCAAATTCAAGTGCCCTGGGGCAAATACATATCAATCAGAGCTAAGAATCAGTGACTGCGTCAGGAACCAGGCAGTACTCTGTGTTACAACAAAGCAGTTTATTTGTGATCAGTGTTTGAGACTCTATACATCCTTCACAAATTTAATTTTACATAATCTGATACTCCTCTTAAAACTTAAACTTTGAACTGCTAGACTTATTTCCCTAGAACAGAAGGGCTGGTATAAGTTATTTTCCGGAAATGAGGTACCGTTTCACAGAACTAGTTTCTTTTTTGTTTTCAAGTTTTAGAGAACTAAATTTGCATTTGTTAAAATCAAAAAGTAGGAAAGATGTTCTTTACAAATAATTTTGATCAAGTATGTGTTCAAAGAAAGCAGGATAAAAAGGCTTTTTTCTCTAACATTCTGTATTGTACTGTATTTGTTGTTCAATAGGAATTAGCTTCTGTCATTTGCTAAAAGAATGAGTAGTGGGGAACAGGATATGTTGGGAATTTCATAACGGGTAACAGAACCATTCTCTTGGGTAAACCTACAGAGAAAAGAAACGGAGAGGACTCCAAATAAGTTTAATAATCCAATAAAAATTTCAGGTTAAAAAATATCTTACAGTAATTATCGTTAACCTTTTCCAGATTAGTCAGTCAACATGAACCATCTGGGAGGAGACCCACAAACCTCTCAACAGATCTCCTGTTTTGAAATTGCTCCTAATATTGTGATCGTTAGTTATTTTCCACTCAAAATTAAGAGGGCTACATCCTAGGAAGAATGATATTCAGAAGGCAATTTCATTTGAGTGAGCAGCCATGAGTTCCAAAGATCAAAAGCAGTGCTACTGATTAATATTCCAGAGGGACTCCAGAAATCCAGAATCGTTTTCAATTTGGCACATCACATATTACAGGAGAAACAGGGATGGCTGTCAGTCAAGACCCAAAGCACAGCTTTCCGTGCAGGCCTCCGCTCCCCAGAGAGACCGCTCCACCTGGAGTCACGACCAGGTACTTACTTTCTTAATGGCTACTGCCGATATTGGCGTGGCAAATCTGGAAAGATTAACTACTTTCTTAATTTTGTAATGAACGAGTTCTTGTGGCCTCACAAACTTCTGCATACTCAAGCATGATTTGAAATCTGCTATTTCTAGTCTAATATTTAACCTATGGTGAAATCACAAAGCAGCAACAGCAGGTATTCAAGAGCACCAGATGATCAGAGGGAAATTACCCCACATGCAACAGCTTTACAAAGGCCAAAAGACATATTTACCTTACAGCCAAAATAAAGCATTGTTTTAGTAGGTTGGCATCACAGTAACATTTAAAAACCAAATCTTTTATGTGAAAAATGGGGGCATCAAATTTCACCAGCTTTGGAAGTCAGTTATATGGCACATGGAAGAGAGGAGCCTTCTGAAGTGGGGCTCAGAGGCCACAGGGTGAAAGTATAATGTTAGAGGAAAGGGAGGAACAAGAGAGAAAAATTAAAGACTGAGGAAAAACAGGAATGCAGCTTAAAGCCTAGACAAACCAGTGTTTCAAGGAGAAAAATTAAGCTCTAGCAAACCTGTACTGAAGAACGTGAGACTTCACTTTGTCTAAAAGAAAGACACAGACTTAACAACCCACCCCAGCAGGCGGGTGCTCTGCCGCTCACGCAAGCCATAGCACGATGGAGCAGTGAGTCAAGATGCATTTGGATAAACTGCCCAGACCTAATTCACAGGAGGGATGAGGTGGCCAGGATACCCACAAGGTGGCTGAATGGGAAAAGCAAATGGCCAAAACCACAAGGAACTAGAGAATTTGAATTTAGAAGCAATTCTGGGTGAAAACATTTTCTTGAATAAGTTCTCACTTCCCAATCACCCCACATCAGGGACGTGGGGAATCTGGGGAAGCCCTGACCATACTGGAGTGTTCCAGAGGAAACATTCCGGTAGAGGAGGAAACCCCAGACTGGGCACTTTGCTGTAGAGAAAACTCACCCCAAACATTTGACACTTGCAGCTTCTCCACATCTTTCCAGGATAGAAATAGTCTATCTTAAAGGGGAAAGTCGTAAAACTGTTCATTTTCTACTTATTTTTTACAGTTAGGACATCAGATGAAGCTTCAATTTAGCAGTGTCGTAAGGACCCATAATTTTCATCTGAACAAAGATGGAAAAGCTGACGCATGAAGAGAGAAAGCATAATGAAGGGTCCTGAGACTCGTGTGGAGGGCTGACGCCACAAGCAGTGGGACAGTCCACGTCCTTCCCTGCTGTGCGCGTGCACATCCAGCCTGAGGTCGCACCAACACGTGCTCACGCGTGCACGCACACACGCTCGCGCCACGCTCTCTCACGCGCACGCACACCCGTGCTCTCTTCTTCTCGCGGTGGCAGACATCCTGCAGATGGCGGACCCACAACATGTAGCGCCTCAGGGAAAAGGTCTAAGAGGGCATATCACTGACTCCAAACCTACTGCCTCCATTGCCACATAAACCTCATTCAAAAGTTATCCAAAGGGCCACTGAGTTTCATTTCTGCATTTACTTTTATTTTACTTTCTTATTTTTGGAGGGAGAGGAGACAATCCTATGATTCTGTAACACGTACCACAGACTGTCTGCAGTCAGCACTTCAGTAACGCTGCTGGTGAGAGCCCACTGCCACGCTGGGGCTCATTTACGCCACCTCTAAAGCAAAGTTTGCGGAAAAGGACGATAGCCACAAATTTGAAGTGAACATTTCCTAACCCTAACTCAAGTCACCCACACGGTTTCAAGCCAGAAACTTCAATGCAGCCATGTAACCGGCGAGCAGTCAAGCCAGAAACCGGGTTTGGCCCTTCAGTAGCCTTTGAATGGAGTATAAGTTGGCTGTAAGAAGAACTACTTAAAATATTTAATTTCCATATGGTCAGAAACAGGCAATTAGAACAGGCAGTCCTTCAATCAGGCAAAGCGGAGAGAAGAGCAACTCCAACCAAACCAAGAACCACAAGGTTGTGGCATTTTCAAAGGGAATTTAAGTTGGGTCACTAGAATGAATACGTCTGAGATCCTCCAATTCATTGAAAGAAACCCTGGATACAAACTGTGCTCTAGATTGCTGTGACAGCACTGCTAAGAGGAGAAATCAGAAACATGGCATACATACCATAGGCAGGGGCAGCGGTGCTGTAACCATACGGTGCTCCGTAGCCTGGTACAAAGAGAAGAAAGCAGATCAGTCCAGAGCAAAGGGCACTCAACCGGTCCTGGCCCAGTTCACAAGGACTGCCTGGCCCGGCATCTTGGGGCCTGAGGACTTCTAGATGCTGGATGAACGAGAGCCATTCCCACAGTGGCCACACCCTCCGTTCCTGCTTACCGTGAAAGATTTCTCGCACGACCTACAAGGTTCTCCTAACCCACCAGAATAGTCTTTCTCCTTGCACTTACCACGCTGTGTTACAATTATCGACTCCGTGTCTGTGTCCCCCACTAGGGTGACAGACACCAAGTCTGACACCTTTGCATCACCACAACTTGGCAGAAGGTCTGTCACATAATAACCACTCCCGACATATACTTTGTTGAACAAAGAACACGGAGAATCACTCAAATTACTAATTTCTTTAAAGTTGGAAAACAGAACTTTCCAGGTTTCTTCAGAAGGCAGTGCCACAACAGGCTAAAGCCTCAACTGGTGCTAAAAATGGGCATGTGGATCAGGTTGTGAGCTTGGGGACAAGGTCCATGTCTCCTGATAATCTGAATTCCTGGCCCCAGCACAGAGGCTCTCAGTAAATGTTGGCAAAACTAACATTAGCATCTGGTGCCTATGGAAAAGGCTCACACTGTCAATAAAAACCAGTCTAAAGAACAGAGAAGTTTCTGAATCAATTTGTTCTGGCTCTAGATTCTTTTATGTCCTTAAACATTTCATTTCTGAGTTGTCTTTCCATATCTGCAAAATGAGAAATCTTCCAAGCTTCTTTATAGTGTAGTAGGGATTAGAAATACTGTGTTAACAGAAGCCCCCATCTTTAACCTTTCAATAAAACAACTTTAAAAAATATAAATACTGGGGCACCTGGGTGGCTCAGTCGGTTGAGCGTCCAACTTCGGCTCAGGTCATGATCTCCCAGCTCGTGAGTTCAAGCCCCACATCGGGCTCTGTGCTGACAGCTCAGAGCCTGGAGCCTGCTTCGGATTCTGTGTCTCCCTCTCTCTCTGCCTCTCCCCACTTGCACTCTCTCAAAAATAAATAAATATTTTTTAAAATATATCCATAAATACTAAATTGCTTGGGTAAATCTTTAGGGAAACTGGGTTCTAAAATAGAATGAGGTGCAGAGGCAGGGGCATGCCTGGGCAGCTCAGTTGGTTAAGCATCTGACTCTTGATTTCAGCTCAGGTCATGATCTCACAGTTCATAGGATCAAGCCCCACGTTAGCTCCATGCTGACAGCAGGAAGCCTGCTTGGGATTCTTTCTCTCCTAGCTCTCTGCCCCTCTCCCATTTGCACTCTCTCTCAAAATAAATATTTTTCTTAAAAAATTTTTTAAACAAAATAAAACAGAACAAAGGGTGCCCGGGTGGTTCAGTCAGTTGAGCATCCAACTCTTGGTTTTGGCTCAGGTCACGATCCCAGGGTCATGGGATCGAGCCTCACATCATGCTCCTCACTGAGCATGGAACCTATTTAGGATTCTCTCTCTCTCTACCCCTCCCCAGCTCACCTTGTCTTTCCCTAAAATAATAAAATACAACAGAATAAAACCTACATGAGCCCTTCACACTGTACCTAAAAAAAAAAAAAAAAAAAAAAAAAAAAAAGTTTGTTTTAACATTACAACCCCTTTTCCTATAATCATTTCTGCTGCTTGCGAGGATTTTTTCCCTCCTTCTCTAGCTGCCCAACTACAACTCATCCTTTAGATCAGGACCAAATGTCACCTCTTCTGTAAAGTCTCCTGGGTTTGCTGTTCACTCCTTCTCCCCCCGCCCCCCCCCCAGGTTATAACTTGTATCACATTGCACAGTGTTTACTCAAGTGTCTATTCCTACCTCATATGACCTCAAGCATTCACTGGGGCAGATGTTAGTCAATCTTCGAATGCACAGTTCCAAATCTCTTGATTAAAACAAAACACTCAAATGTATGCTGAATGAGTAAACTGCTTTTAGGGACTAACTCAAACATTTCCAGAGAGATGAAAATTTTCACTTTTTAGTCTATACTTAAGTCACATAAAACTGGGGATAGTACAACGAAGTCTTAGTCTTTAGTGCTCCCCAAATCCTGTCTTTCAAGAGGATGCAATGCAGCTGAAAGCAACACTAGGAAATATGAAATAGGAACAGTATCAGAGGCCAAAAGAGAAATTAATACTTTAAAAAGAAGTTCATCCATCATGTCTATTCCAGGAAAAGGTAGCTGGCTGGACGGCCAAGGCTACAGTTTCAAGGGTTTTACCAAAGCCTCCTCAAGGAGAGATAAAACCACAACTACTAAGCTGGCCACTGATCAGGCTATGGGATTCGAACCTCGACTCCGCTTTTTCACTAGCAAGGTGACTTTGTGCCTGTTATTTAACCTCTCTGAGCCTCACAGTCTTCTACAGTAATTGAGTTGGCAGGGGAATGTAATTAAATAATGTATGTAAAAATACTTACTACAGTCCCTGTTGCACAGAAGACACTCCGCAGATGGCATATAACCTATTCATAATCTAATTGACCTAATCTGAATCTTCTCTAGGCTATAAAAGAACTTCATTTTTAAAAGCTTCAGGAGACAGGCCTTTTCAAAGAGGCCAATGCGATGACATAAGAGAAAAGTTACTATAAAGCCAACACGCCTGGCAACAAGCAGACACACATGATGCCTTCCACGATGACCACCACTAGATGATGGGTGTTGCCCACTCGGGCGGGGGCTAGGCATTGAAGACCAAGCAACCGCAGACGCTACCGGATGGACAAAGCCCCCACTGAACACGTAAGCACAGGCAAGAAAGTTCATCTCAATAACTCGCCTGTCATCATTTAATAAAAGCGGCTTCCTTTAAATAATGATGGAATAAAGCAAAACAGTACTAAGTATCAGTAGAAACAGTGAGATGCACAGAAGAGTGTCTTAGTTTGGGACATATAAACAGAATCAAACCACAAGGAACCTTGTCCTCCTCCATCTCCCTCCCTGCCTCATCCCTCAGCAGTCTCCTTCTATGTCAAAGTCACTCACCCAGTTCTCGCTGAAAATGCCGGGAGAAATCCTTGAGACCTCCCTCTTTTTTCATTCTCCACATTAAATCCATTAATTAGGCTTCTGCAGGAGGGTCTTCAACCTGGTCACTCCTTGCCGTGCACCCGCTGGAGATACCCGCACTGTCTCTGCCCTGGGCTATGAGTTTACCAAAACCTTCTAACTTGTCTTTTCATATCCACTTCTATCCCTGCAATCTATTCTTCACACTATAGATGGTGATCTTTATAAAAAAGTCTGATCTGGTCACTTCTCTCCTTAGAACCCTTCATGACTTCCCACTGCACTTAGCATTCTAAGGCCAAAATCCAAACCACAGCCTCCAGGACTGGGATTGCACATGTGGCTTTAGCTCGAATCACTCCCGTCCCTGTCAAGTCTCCCCCCGCCCCCCCACCCCCACCCAAAACACACAATGCTCTCCACACTACAGACGTCTTGGCCTTCCTCCATCCTTCTCACCAGCCAAGTTCCCTGGTCCAGCAGCACAGGGTCTCTGCATATGCTGCTCCCTCTGTGTGCAACACTCTTCCACCCCAGTCTTCCCTGAGTTAACTCCTCCTCATTCTCCAAAGCTCAGGTCAAGTGTCACTTCTTTGTGGAAGCCTTTAGGCCCCAAAGTCTAGACCCAGTTTCTCTGTTATGTTCCCTCACATTACATACCCTTCTTCTTCATTACAACCTTCACAGTTTATAATCGTGATTATTTCATCAGCATGTCTTACCCGATCATAAGCCATGACAGTAAAATCCCAAAGCAGGCACATGATATTTGAATGAGTGAATATATTCTTTGTATGACACATCTTTGCGCTACGCTCCCACTGGAATCAACTCCTACAAGTCTTAATTCCAAAACCACATCATCCATAGAACTTCCCAAATAGCCCATTCTCTTTCTTAAACAAACAAACAAACAAAAATGGGGCACCTGGGTGGCTCAGTTAGTTAAGCTTCTGACTTCAGGTCATCATCTCACGGTTTGTGGGTCTGAGCCCTCCTGCATCAGGCTCTCTGCTGTCAGTGCAGAGCCCACTGCAGATCCTCTGTCCCCCCTGCCCCTCCTACCCCCTCACAAATAAACATTAAAAAAATAATAAAAAAACAAAAGAAAACAACACACACACACACACACACACACACACACAATGTAAGTGAACTTCTTAAGAATGTTACATAAAATACACTGATGGGGTAAGATTCAATCCTTATGACAATTTCATCCTGACCAACAACTACAAGCAGTTTACTTGTCAAAAGTTCCATGCATGCAAATAAATAAACTTAAAAAAAAGCGGGGGTGGGGGCGCCTGGGTGGCTTAGTTGGTTAAGCATCTGAGACTCTCAGTTTCAGCTCAGGTTATGATCCCAGTTTCATGAGTGCAAGCCCCATGCTGGGCTCTGTGTGGACACTGCAGAGCTTGCTCACTCGCTCTCTCTGCCCCTCCCCAGCTCACGCTGTCTCTGTCTCTCTCAAAATAAAAAAACGTAGAGGAAAAATGCTCCATATGTTCAATATTGCAGACAACTTATCTTTAATGACAGCTCTGTATCCACTGCTGAAATGACGTGAGTATTAGAACAGAAGGCAAAAAGAGGGCATCTCTCCCATCTCCCTCAAGCCAGGTGGTGAAAGAGAAAGAATATAAACTCTGCAACTGCAAACACCTACGTTCAAATCTCTGCTCTGATGTCTGCTACATGTCTCAGCCTGAGCTAGCTGCCTTCTCCCATTAAACTTTAGTTCCCTTATCTAGAAAATGGAAATAATTTCTACTTGAGGAAACACTGTGAAGATTAAAAAGCAATTAAGTGAAATCATTTATGCAAAAGTCTCTGACGTAGAGTAAGCTCTGGATTAAGTAAGTTCCCCCTTTTTTTTTCCTGTTTGTACTTCTGTAGCCTTTATTGAATCCCAAACACTGAGTTAAAGAAATGCTACTAACAGCAGGCTTCACCCCAGTGAGGGAGTCTCTTACCAGCAGCTTCCCTCTCCTGTCACACCCAACCACCTTCTGGGCCCCCGATGAATGCACCCTGCTCAACGTCCACACCCCTCAATCCGTGGAGCAGCTGTTAGTTTCCTCACTGTCAAAATACATCCCCTCAACCAGGTACAATATCCTTCCTCTGTCACCTCCCTCCAGGAAGCCTCTAGTCACTCAGCAGATGCCAGGGGAAAACCTATGACATTCCATAGATTCTCTTCTTTTGAATTTCCATGCACACCCGTCTTACACTCCTGCTATGTTTCCAGAGACCGTGTATAATTAACCCCAGAAAATAAAGGAGAGGCTGTTCTTCAAAGCCTGACCCGGAAGAGGAAGCAGGCCTCCTACAGGTTGTACTATACCTGGAGCTATGTAGCCAGGAGCAGCTGTAGCCCCAACAAAAGCTCCCCTCGTTAGAGTTCCTCTTCCTCTGCCCCGAACAGCTTGGACCGCTGCAGACACAGCCGTATTCACAACACCCTTTGCCTGTTAAAAATAACACATTTTCATTACTAAGAAAAATAAGAACTAACATCTCATCGTCTCTGTAATGCACAACCTCTATGAGAAACTTGAGCCTGTAGATGAGTCAATGAGTCATCTATGACCTTGAACCTTAATTTTATCGTCTATAAAATAAAAATGACACCTACCTTACAGAGCCGTTCTGGAGAATATGTTGGCTCATAAAAATATGCAAATAATTTCTTCTTTTCACTTGAGGGTTACCCAGAAAGAGTTCACTTTCTATACACAAATTTCAGCAGTCAAATTATATTTAAAGTCATTTTAGGCCTGACTAAAGGAATATGGGCACTTGATACCTAGGTTCGAAATCCACTGAATTCTCCACCTACAGACAAAAAAATACTGCAACAACCAACCACCAAGAATCAACTGTGAACCTGAGTGGAGTTTAAAACACACACACACACACACACACACACACACACACACACACACACACACACACAACTATGACAGGAAGGCCAAAAATGAGAACTCCAGGAAGGTCACATGATTTCTTTGAGGCTGTTTCTGCTGCTGTATGTGTATGTGTGTATGTACCAATCATTAAATAAATACCACCTCTAAAGTCCCCTCTTGCTCTAAAATGCCATGAGACTCCAGTAAAGTCACATAATCGCTACGTCTACCAGAGTCTCCCCACTAACTGTACAGTGAGGATAAGGAGACCCACACTTTGTTTTCTTTACTTCAGAGTAGAAAGAGCAACTGAGAAAATAGAAAACTCTGAAGAGTAGGATAAGGACTAACAGAACACAAGTCTGCTAAAACATCCCTTTCTAAAACTGAAATTTTAAGAAAATCAAGAACATCTAGTTTTAAATTAAACATTACACTTATTTTTTTTTAACATAAAGACACAACAAAAACTCAAACTAGAAACTACAAGAATTCCCTGCTATAACCCAGGTGCAGGGAAGGAGGTGCAGAGAGAGCCTCAAAGCTCACTGTGCAATGAATAAAGTCAACAAGATCTCAAACAGCTTAAACATCAGAGCATACACACATTTCTCGCACACTGAAAAATCATCATCTTTCATTCCTCCTGGGAGCACCTGTACCACTAGAATAACTGGGGAGAAGACAGTTTCAATGTCGAATGTATCATGCACAGGGACAGCCATTTTTTCTATTTGGCTGACAAAAAATGTAGCCCACACATCCAAAATAGACTGCTTCTTGGCTGTCAAGCACATTGAACACATGAGTTTTATAGCTTCTAGTATGGAAAATTTCTAAAAACGGGTGAACTTCATGAAGACATCTTTTGTTGTTTTTTTTTTAAACACAGTTTAATCCAAGTAGTCAGGAAGTAACAATCTGGTGGCAGCAGAGTGACCCCACACAAATAGAGCTCATGTCTACTAGAACTAAACTTAACTACCTAATAACTATCTGCACTAGCTTTTTAAACGCTAAAATGATCCAATACAAGATGTAACTCATGGTAAAAACATACCAAAACAAACAAGGTAACAATTATCTTTCTACTAATTTAGCAAACATCCTGGAAGGTTTTAGGAAAATAAATTCCACTTATTCTCTCTCCATGTGTGTACCAGTGCAATTTAAACATTTTATTTGTATTTTGTATCTCAGTAAAAGTTAGTTTTCCTTGTTTACAGTTTGAATCCTAGAATTTAGACAATGTTTATTATGATGAGTAAAAGACAAGACAAATTTCTACAATGTCTATCATACGCAACAGAATGCCCATCGTCTTTGGAATTCCCGGAGAAGAACCCGATTTAAAAAGATCGTACCATTAGTTAGCTCCGCTACTAAATGCAGCGTCTTCATTTCTTTGGGCCTTGTTTCCTCATCTACAAACCGGGATCAATTCTACCCTCCTCGAGAAGACTCGTCATATGTAAAAGAAACTAAACCAACTAAAACAGAATCTTAAATAATCTAAGCTACCTCCTATTAGTCTAAACATTTTCAAGTGACTTGTTTCTACCACATTACTGAACCAGCACTTTCCACCAGGGAGAACTTTCTACCAGGGAGAGAACATGTCTCATATTCACTAGTGTATCTCTTTTGCCCTCACAATCATGTACATAGCATATGTCTAGAAAATATTTTTGATGCATAAATAACAGAAGAACCTGTTATCCAAAAGCATGTAATTAGGAGGCCATCTTTTCTAAAGATGTTGCTATAATCCTGGGTCTTCAGCAGCACTGACATTCCCATTGTCAGGAATGAACAGAAGCAATACAGGGTCAAGTTTTACTGTGTCGCCCCCAAAGGAAAACACAAAATAAATAATGCAAAAGGACAAAACTGGAAAGGAAATGGAAGTGTGTCTGCAGACTCTGATGAAAGTAAGCCCCTGTACTCTCGGCGGCTCCCCTAAACAAATACAACATCTCTTTAAAGTCCAGATCCTTCAATGCTCTACTTCATCCAGAGTGACCGAAAGCCCCCAAGTAATACTGATAGCCTCTTTTTAATATATAATTTGCCTACAAAGACCACAGAACACGGATTATTATAGTATTCACGATCTAACTCAAGGAAAAGGTTGTCAAATGCAAGAAAAAGAAACAACTTCAGAGAAAGTGGCACAAAGACAGAAAAGGAAACTTAATTCTGGTAATATTTTTCAACAGTATTGCACAGGTTTAATGCTTAACTCATACCTGAGGGATAATCTTCTTTTTCTTATTATTTGCTGCATTGGGTCCAGAAAACAGCTTCTCCAGGGCAGCTAAAGCTGCACTTGCCTTTGCCACTTTCTTATTTGGACCTGCACCTCTGAATTTCTGTCCATCTACTTCTACCTAAAATCAAGAACAACAGTCTGCAATTATCCCATATAATTCCTCTATATAGTTTTCATTTAAATGTATCACAACACGGGAAAAACCAAAAGTCACATAGTGCCAAAAGAATTAACTCAGTCTAAAACTTTTTTACATATGAGCTCAGGATATGCTATGTCTTTGAGGAGAAAAGGTTGGCTTGAATCTAGGTACACACCTCCATTACAAAGCGTTTGTCATGGCTTCCACCAGTCTCCGAGATGAGTTCATACTTAAGACCTCTTCTTTTTTCATTGAGCTCCATTACAGGATTTTTGCCACTTGCTGTGAGGATAGGGCCCTGAGTTCTTACCTAAAAGGAGGTTCAATCAAGTAAGATTTTAGAGTATTAAATTTCTCATTAATACAATTATACTAGGTTTCTGCTGAAAAGACGCTCAAAAATTATACTGTAAAGCATTTAGGAGCTAGAATGTGTGATCACCTCAATATACAAATGACAAAATATCTTTAAAGGTATGGAAACTTTACCATAGCACGGAAATATCTTTAAAGGTATGGAAACTCTACCATAGCAGTAAGCACGGCAATCAGTCATCAAGCCAATCTGCCTCTAGAGTAGGGCTGTCTCAACTGATCAGTATTCAAGAGCAACATGGCCTTGCCATTACGTGGCACTCTAGGGTCTGCTCTGTGGTGTTCATGATCTAAGAATAATACTTTAAATGACTAACAAAGCGGACAGAACAGTTGAGATTCACATGACATCTGAGTGTTCACTGTTTTTCATCTTTAGGGTTAGGAAGAAATAATTTTCAATTTGGGAGATGGGAACAAAATGTTCCTACACATCTCTCAGTTCTCTCCAAAGAGATTTAAGGGCACCTAAGGTAAAAACAGTAGGCTACAATCTATGGATTCTGAAATTTAAAAAAAGAATAAAAGCAGTCATTCTCTGCCCAAAGGAGCTAGAGTATAGCGGGACAGACATAATCACTTTAAAACAGTGTATATTATAGAACAGATGTGTGCTATGGAAACACAGCAGAAGGAATCACCTTCTATGGCAATCAGGATAGTTTTCCTGGAAGTGACATGAGAATTTGACCTTAAAGAGGTAAGTACCGGACCATGATAAGGTAGAAACAAAGGAGAAGGGCATTCTAGACAGAAGAAACAGCCACGGAAAGGCCCAAGAGAAGCAAAGAACATCTGTTTGGGAAACAGCAAGAAGCACAGTGTGGCTGTATAAGGGAGTGAGGACAGGAAGGCAGGACCCGATCAGAAACGCCCTCAAAGGAGCCAATTCATACAGGACTTTGCATGCCATGCAAATGAGCTTTGACTTTATCATGAACTATGGGGAGTCACGGAGAGATTTAATCTAGAAAAGTCAGGACTAGATTTGTGTTGTAGAAAAAAATCACGCCAGGAGTAGCAGAAAGAATCCATTCGAGGAAGGATTAAGACTGCAATAAGGAGAAGAAGTACTTCATGTAAGAGTGTGAAGGCTCAAATGAAGAGGCAGGACAGCACCAAAAATAAAACAAATGACAAAATACTGCAACTATAATCTTGAGAAAGGAAAGACCCAAAGATTGAGCACTTTTTGAGGTTAGAGATCATGCCTCTAATTCTACCATAGTAATTGCTCAAGAAATGCTGAAGAGATGAATGCCCAAAACAATTATTATGTTACAAATTCAAAGAACAGCAAGATTCTCTTAACACACTACTCTGTGCTGATTTTGGTAAGTGGTTAATGCTGTAGAAAAAGTCAAACACTGGACAACTTTTCAAGCCTAGTTTAATAAACATGCCTGGGTCGAATGCAATAAAAAAAAAAATCACTTTTTGAAGAGTTTTTTGTAATCTATCTTTTTAAAATTTCAAAGCAAATGTCCAGTCTCCATCTTTAAAAGGTAATGAGTAATTTTTGAAACTAGGTCTATGGGAATTACTCTCTGCTTTCCAAATCTGAAATCACTTTTATAAAAAATGAGTCAAGACATACAAATATTTGCATTGTAATATTTTAATTTTAAATGAAGAACTTAAATGAAGAATAAGGGCTTTCTTTCCCCCCACGCCCATGCCATGATTACATTATATAGAAAGAAAGCATGGATGTGTTCACTACCAAAACTGCCACACACGGATGTGGCTATCAGTGCAGCCCACACTGTTCGCCCTCTCCTTCATTCCCCTCAACTTAATAGTCTGAGTCTCATAATTAATGAGTACTTTCTTTTCTAAGTCTTTATAACACTGCCACTAAAACATCTTGCCCTGCCTGTGACCATCACCTGTGAATGAATGGGCCTCTCAAAAGCCAGGCGCCACAGTCTCTCCACAATATCCCATGACAAGTCGGGCCTCAGCCTCTCTCTGCTCCCCCACCCCCTACCAGCCCACCTGATGCCTCTCAAACACCTACTTTCACAACCCCAGGCCATTATAACCTCCTGTTCCTTTGGCCCCAATGCCTTCTTTCTACCTCTTCTCCACAGAGCAAAATCTTCCTCATCACCTAAAACCTCGCTCACATTTTACTCCCTTTGATTTTATAGTTGTGTAAGTTTCCTAATCACTTCCTCTTTTGAGATTTCACATTATTATATTCATTTTGCCATTACGGTACTTATCATATTACATTATAATTAGTTATGAACATGCCTTTGATGCTTCTAGCCTGAGAACATCTTGAGGCTCTGGACATAATTTCTGCAGCATCTGGCAGTAAACAGGTACTACAAGGGGTTTACAGAGTAAAAAACTACATAGTGCACTAAGTCTCAGATAAATTACTCATGCCCACAAATGAAAACATTTTTTTAACTTAATGTAACCTCTTGCTGTTACTTTGAAGCCAATTTTGCTCATGCAGAATGCAATAAACAAGGGCCCCATGAATTCCCAAAAATACTGGGTATACCCAGTACTTGGATTTTTGTCCCATTCTATTATCTGTGGCAATACGCTCATAGGTCAGGACATAGTCAGAGTCTGAGGAACATACTAGATCAGGCTATGCCTCCCTCAGGGCTAGACTGACTTGATGATGACCCACGGCCTCCCACAGCTCAGCACAAACTTCAAATAATCCTAAATTTCCTCTGCCAGATCTTCTGGTTTTTCACTCTTAAGTTATTATTGATAGTGCTGATACATTATAACTGTGAAATACTGGAAGGAACTTCCGTGGCCAGCAAAAAGAAAATGCTAGTTACATGAGGGTACATTTATGTATTGTGCATTATACAGTTATCGTTACAGATATTTTGAGAGTGAAAAAAAAAAAAAAAAAAAAAAACCAAGACGTAAAACTGCATGGAAATACAATTGCCATCACAAAAATACTCCCAGAAAAAGGCTGGATGGAAATAAACCAAAATATTAATAATAACAATGGCTGCCTCTGGACTATATACATTTGTATATGCTTTTTTCTTATTCACACTTTTCCACATCTCTCAAATTTTCTATAATCTACATACACTACTTTTTTTCTTAGGAAAAAAATATATAAATATACCTCTAAGGTACTGGAGGTTTCAGTTGTAGAATTTCCAGTATTATTGCTTGAGTTTGAAGACACTGTTTCATTTTTGCCTTCATTGTCTGACTTTTCATCGGAACTCATACATTCAATATCTGCATCAAAGCCCGTTGGGTATCCCATTGCTTGTAATACCTGTACAAATTACATTAAGATTCAGTTTTATTCAAACATCAGAGACCACTGAGAACAGATAAAATACTGAGAACAAGTTTCAAATCCACAACATTTGAATCTATGGAACACCTTTCAGGAAGAGCAAGATGGTCTAAATCTACAAATCCTTGGTTAAACAAAATTTACCTGCTAAAATTTCACCACAGAGAATGGGAAAAACATCCTCAGAGTAATTAGGTTTAAATAAAGGATGACAGAAATGCAAACCTGAGGCTGCTTCTGGTTCATTTAGTTTGGAGGCAAGAGGTAGAGAAACAGTATGGCCAAATTCAACCAAGAAGGTGAGGGGAAAAGTGAAACAGCATAATGTAAGAAGTACAATGGATAGAAAAGAAAAGACCTGGCAGTCTAATCCTGTATTTCTCCTCTGGTCCTCAATTTTCCAACCTGCAAAACAGGAAGACTGATTAGCTGACCTCTAAATTCTATGACTCAATCCATTAGGAGGAATTAGCACAGAAAGGGAATCAACAAGTCTTCAGGTTGGAACCAATTTACCTGTTAATTTTTTCTGAACCTTTCTACTATTGTCCTCTTTGCTTTCAACTTAAACCATAATCAACACTTGAAAGGATTCAGGTTCAAAGACTTATTCTCTATACTAAGTGAACCAGGAACAGTTTTGGGTTTGTATTTCCACCCCTGTCTCTCAAGGCCTAGTTACTTTATGACTTCTCCCAATATCCATTCTTCTATTACCATTCAATGCCCGGCATTTCGTATCTTTTTTAAAGATAAAGTTTTCTGAACAGTGTGTGTGTGTGTGTGTGTGTGTGAGCACGCATGTGTGTGTGAGCATACACACATTCAAGCATGGCTTTTAACATCTCCTTCCAGGTGATACTGCTTTTTAGATGTTTACAAGACAATATGTTCACTAGCATCATTATAACCCTCTTTCAAGCAGTTGATGTTGCACTGTCAATTACTAATTTAAAGGTTTATATCAAAATATATGGAGATAGGTTCCTAAGGATTTCTGTATCTATTTCAGCTTTTGACTATTGTTTTAAGTTGCCGGAGCAACTTAATGTTGTATTTCTTTATGATCCCTATCCATACCTATACCTAAGAGGTGTGTCAAAAAATGGTTATTATAGCCTGACAAGTGAGAGGCCAGGCAGCCCAAACTTTATAAACAATAGCATCTTCTATAACAGATTCTGCCAACATAAAATAGTACAACTATAAAAAATGGACATAAGTAGAACTCTGTACCATGAAAACTTGAAACTGATTCACCCAATTCATATGAAGAACTTGGCATTGTGTTGAACATTTCAAATCATAAATACTTTGTAATCACAGGGAGAAAGCCAAGAACCCCTTTTCAATATCTTATGTTCTAGAAGTTCTCAGGTAGTACTACACATCAAGAATGTTAACATCTTATTCTTGTCACTATTTTATAAAGAAAACGTCTTCTCTATTATCTAAGTCCTGTAATACCCTCTCCTGAAATATCTCATCCTAAGAGAATAGTTATCAGTCTGGAATGAACACTAGCTAATACAAGCTACAAGTCGAAAGTCAAGACTCACAAATAAATCTGATTGGTCTATTCCAATAAAAACTAAAGACATGCAGCTTTTCTTAACGTAGATAATTAAAATAGTCTAATGTGAATTATTTAACACCATTTCTCTCTGTGCTTTTCTCACATACCATATTCATTTATTTACTTGTTATTGTAGCAACATATTTCACTATACTATAAATAGTTTATACAACTGATGGATAAGCTCAAGGGATACAGTGTACTTGTAATATAGCCCAACTAACAAAAAAATGTCAAATTAGATCATTTTTCTATGAACACATGAGGGTATTAACTAGTATATGCTACAAGAGTTTTAAAAGGAAAAAAGTAATGAGCTCTCAGACATCTAAAACAAAAATTTGCTTAGAATCAACATTAAAGTCAGAAAAACTAGTATACCAAAAAAAAGTTAAGTTTCAAGTGTCTAGCAAACAAATCAAACCTAATAAACACATCAACTGGGCTGAAAAATCACAAGACAATTCCTGGACATAGGTGACTGGGAAATCCAGTGTAACCATGCCTTTTTTCCCCTGGAAGGGGAGCTGAGGCTGAGACAGATGATCCCCTCAAAGACTATACAAAAGTAAAATGGAAACATACTCTACCCTATGGCTCTCCACTCAAAAGAAAGTCTTATCCGTGACTTCAGATAGTGAAGAAATGATGGCTCCAAGAACCTCTCCAAAGAGCCTTCGCTCCTCTAGCAGACCTTTTCCCCACAATGACTAAGATTCTTTTCATGGAATATGGCTGATTATGTCTCTCAAGGTGTTCTTTGTGAGGAACTAGCAGAAAAAGGGCCAGAAGAGTAAAGAAAATACTGGCAACTGATTTCCATCACTTCAGGGTGCCTGCGGCTGAGCAGCCAGGCTCCTGTGGCAAGATGGGTTTTTTTTTTTTTTTTTCTTATTTTGTTTTGATTTCATTCTCTGATATGATTTGTCTTAACAGGTACAGATCCCTACACCAAGCTACTGAGTAAGGAATGTAAGAATTTTTATCTACTGGGACCTACTTTCATAAACACATGTTAGATATAAAACATAAAACACTCTGAAACTCTTGCTTTTTAAATTTTTTTCTTACTGTTTATGTTTGAGAGAGAGCACAAGTGGGGGAGGGGCAGAGAGAGAGGGAGACACAAAGTCCAAAGCAGGCTCCAGGCTCTGAGGTGTCAGCACAGAGCCTGACACAGGGCTCAAACCCACAGATTGCGAGATCATGACCTGAGCTGAAGTCGGACACTTAACCGCCTGAGACACCCAGGCGCCCCAAACACTCTCAAACTCTTATAAACAGAATCTGAGGGGTGCCTGGGTGGCTCAGATGGTTAAGCATCTGACTTCAGCTCAGGTCGTGATCTTGTGGTGTGGATTCAAGCCCCACATTGGGCTCTGTGCTGACAGCGTGGAGCCCACTTTGGATGCTCTGCCCCCCTCCCCACTGCTCAGGCACATGCACTCTCAAAACTAAACATTTAAAAAAAATTTTTTTAAATAATAAACAAAACCTTAAACTTACCATATATAGATGGCAATTTGGCAATATATACCTGACATATAATAGGAAGCCCAATACATATTTACTGAATGGATCATTCAAATGTGCCCTCTTCTTGATGCAGAAATTCCATTTCTAGAACACATGTTTACTTGTTTCTTTTTTTTTTTTTTTTAAATGCAAGCTTTACACCCAACATAGGGCTTTAACTCACAACCCTAAGATCAAGAGTCGCGTGCTCTACAAAAAGAGCCAGGTGGGCACCCTAGAATATATATCTTAAGGGATAATTAGACTAATTCAAAAAGATATAAAGCAATCAACTAGAAGCATCTAAATCTAAAAGGATTATACATTACAGTACACTGATAATAAAAAAATATTAGGCCATCACTAAAAAGGAGAGTAATCTTTGTGGTAACTATAAAAAACTCATATTTTTTGGATGAACAAAAAAGTACTTATTTTAAATATATATTTTATATACACATTATGTAGGTCCTACCATTCCTTATCTAAAACCCTTGGGACCAGATTATTTTGAGAATTCATAGTTTTTCGGAGTTTAGAAAGCTAATACAAAATATTTACTATATATTTTCCAAATCCCCAGTAAGTTCAGATGCTACCCCACGTTTGTGCAAAGAAACATAAAATATTCACATTAAATGAAATAGTAAAGACTAAAGTACTCCTGCATCAATTCAGGTCAGGTTTTCCCATCAAATGAGTTTGTATCAAATGTAGAGAAATATTTTTCATTTTCGGTGCTTCCTGGATTTTAGAATTGCAGTTTAAAAAAAAAGGCTTGGAAAAATACATACCAAAATGTTAAAAGTAATTATGAGAACAAACAGCTCTAAATCCTGTCATATTACAAAATCAGCCACTGCTCTTACTCCCCCATATTTTACTGAATTGCAACTTGCTATGAGGCCACTAGCTTACATTAAAGGCGATTATAACAAACAACCCACAAACTGTCACTGCATCATAGATAACTTTAAAGGATATCACTGCTATCCTTTTAATGAAAACCTACTCAAGGAGAATGCCCACTTGATCTCTATACTAAATCAACTGTAACCCTCATACTCAACTGTCTGTTCTTATGTCACAGACAGTGACATTTCACAAGCTTTTGAGTCAGATGTTAGAGATCTTAGATCTAAATTTGTGACTCATTCTCAGCATACATTATAGCTAAGTTATTAAACTGTATTTTTAGCTTTCTTCCTGGATTTTTTTCCCTCATTTCTCATTAATTCTTTTTCTGCCTCATTTTAAACTCTTACTGTTTTATCATACTTAAAGTACCCTTTTGTAAACAAGACATAACATAAATAATCTATTGTTTTATATTTTTACAGCTTATTATTTTTCTGCATCGTGCTTATTACTACCTGACATATAATTTATTCATTGGTATATTTGTTGTCTGTCTCCAATTCTTTCCACACTAGAATGCAGGCTCCAGGAGGCCAAGGGCTTTGTTTTATTCACTGATACATCCTTGGTATCTGGAATAATGTTCACATCTACATTAATAATACTTGCAAAGTGGAATGATCATGAAAACAGACCAATTCTATCTTATGCCATACTGTTACATAACAGAACTTTTCTTAAGTGAAAACCAATCTTTGGTCTACATGATCTTTGACATTTTCACATTAATCTACGAGACAGCAAACGCACTCATGGAAAAATTCCAGTATTTAGGAACTTTCTACAAACCTACATGCATGATTGCTTGGTTCAATCCTGAACCTATTCCCTATGGAAATACTCTGGAATACAGAAAAGGCACCATATGCACAAATATAATAATTAAATTCATTTATGACAGGAAAAATCTGCAAACAAGAAAATATTCAATACTAGGAAGATGTTTAAACAAATAATAGTGCATCCAAATGTTATATCATAAAGCCATTAAAAATTATTTGTGAGGATTTTAATAACATGAGAAAACACTGACAATACAGTAAATGAAAAAAAAAATCAGTGGATAAAATCACATACACACTGTAAGCTCAAGTTAAAACAAAAAAAACAAGGGTGCCTGGGTGGCTTGGTCGGTCAAGCATCCCGACTTCAGCTCAGGTCATGATTTCACGGTTCGTGGGTTCGAGCCCTGCATCGGGCTCTGTGCTGACAGCTCAGAGCCTAGAGCCTGTTTCAGATTCTATATCTCCCTCTCTCTCTCTGACCCTCCCCTGCTTGCACTCTGTGTCTTTCTCTATCAAAAAAAATAAAAAAAAAAAAAAGCAAACAAAAAGATTGGAAGTAAATAAAACCAACATACTATATATAAATATTAGTGATCTGCCCATTTTTTATGTCTTTACTTTTTTCTGCATTTTCCAAACTCCATATAATCAACACATATTAATTTTATAACCAAAAAAGAAATGTTCTGTAATCCAGAGGTAACAAAAGTCTCTATGTCATTGTCATTAAAATCTTTAAAAATACTGTTATTTTAGGAAAATAAGCACCTTATTTATGACATATAATAAAAAAGCCCTGCTAAATAAAAGCAATACTGTACCTTCACTGCTACATGAAGTTTTGCTGTTTTCTTGGATGGCCCTGAGGCTTCATATGTTGTACCATCCACATCTACAGACATTGTGAAGACTGGGGCATGGACAGGGCCAGACTGAGATAAGAGCTTATATTGAAGCCCAGGCCTGATCTGATTTAGCCTCATTAGTGCATTCATAAGGTCTATTGCTTTACTATCCAGAACTGTTTAAAAAAAAAAAAAAAAGAGATCAAAAATTAAACCATTTTGCTTTAACCTATGCATTTGTAGGTTCCCAGTGATCACTATAAATTCACCAGGTTTTAAAAAGCAAGAACTTGAAGACACATATACAAATTAATTTCACTTCATAAGTAATTCTAAAGTGACTTAAATTATGCTAATATCATTATACAAGTGATATGAATTACTACATCTATACATCAATTTTAGTTTGTCAATACTAATATATCTTAAGCAATGAAACTTGAAAACAAAAGAAAGTTCTTCAATCATCAATTTTTGTTAAGATATGCTCTTAAAATTCAAATTCAAATCAATCAAATTCTTCACTTTGAAATTTTTTTTTCTTGTCTGACACTACAAATCTTTTCTAGTTCACATCTGTAAGAATACACACTTTTCCTTAAGTTTCGTTTCATCTTCTTATTGGGATCTTTATCATCCCCTAATCCATCTTCAAATGGCCTCTTCAGAGCTGAAGACCCGGCACCTAAAAAAATTATAACAAATTCATTATCAGTCAAAACAATGAGGTCAGGAAGGAAAACCTTAGGAATCACAAGGACCGCAGTACTTTCACTGATCAATTAAATTGCCATAGATATAAGCTTATAATAGCAAAAAACTGCTAATGAATCTTTAGGAAACAATTTAATACTATCCTTTTATATATTTATTTTCTCATTTACTCATATGAATTGGCATTCATTCATACAATATTTTTGCATTTTTCACACCTGTATATGCAGGAAGAGAAAAAAGTCTACAAAGATATATATCAAAATGTTAAAGGTAGTTATCTCTGGTGGTAGGGTTTATTTTTATTTGTGTCTTTTCAAATATATCTGTAATTTAACATGTATTACTTATAGAAAATTTTTAAGCCCACATATTAAAATCTTATGCTTTGGAAAATCTAATCATTTCTCACACTAAAACAGCCTTCCGCCTATTCAAATCCTACTCAAGATTTTATTATCAAAACAATATGGTACTGGCACAAAAACAGACACACAGATCGATGGAACAGAATAGAAAACCCAGAAATAAACACACAACTATATAGTCAATTTATCTTGAACAAAGCAGGAAAGAATATGCAGTGGAAGAAGGACAGTCTCTTCAACAAATGGACAGTAACATGCAAAAGAAAGAAACTGGAGCACTTTCTTACACCATACACACAAAAACATTCAAAATGGATTAGAGACCTATATGAGACCTCAAACCATAAAAATCCTAGAAGAGAACATAGGCAGTAACTTCCTTGACATTGGCCATAGCAACTTTTTTCTAGATATGTCTCCTGAGGCAAGGGAAACAAAAGCAAAATAAACTAATGGGACTACATCAAAATAAAAAGCTTCTGCACTGCAAAGAAAACAATCAACAAAGTTAAAAGGCAGCCTAAGGAATGGGAGAAGATATTTGTAAATGACATATCCAATAAAGGGTTAGTATCCCAAATATATAAAGAACTGATATAACTCAACACCCAAAAAACAAATAATCCAATTTAAAAATGGACAGGGGCACCTGGTTGGTTCAGTGGGTGGAGCGTGTAACTCAATATTGGGGTTGTGAGTTTGAGCCTCACATTGGTGTAGGGATTATTTTTAAAAGGAGGAGAGGGGGGAAGGAAAAGAAAAAAAAAGAATAAAATAGGCAGAAGACATTTCTCCAAAGAAGACATACAGATGGCCAACAGACACATAAAAGATGCTCAACATCACTCATCATCAGGGAAATGCAAATCAAAACCATAATGAGATATCACCTCACACCTATCAGAAGGGCTAAAATAAAAAACACAAGACAGGTGGCTCAGTCAGTTGAGTGTACAAGTCTTCAGTTCAGCTCAGGTCATGATCCCAGGGTTGTAAGATCAAGCCTCGCATTGGGCTCTGCACTGAGCATGTAGCCTGCTTGAGATTCTCTCTCTCCCTCTGTCCCTCTCCCTGGCTCGCTCTCTCTAAATTAATTAAACACACACACACACACACACACACACACACACACGAAACAAGTGTTGATGAGGATGTGGAGAAAAAGGAAACATTTGCACTGTTGGTGAGAAGGCAAACTAATGTAACCACTGTGGAAAAATATGGAGGTTCCTCCAAAAGTTAAAAATATAGACCTACCCTATGATCCAGCAATTGCACTACTAGGTATTTACCCAAAGAATACAGAAACACTAATTAAAAGGGATACACACACCCTGATGTTTATAGCAGTGTTATTTACAACAGCCAAAATATGGAAGCAGCCCAGAGTCTATCAGTAGATGAATAGATAAAGAAGATGTGGTGTGTGTGTGTATTATATTATATATATGTAATATTCCATTGTGTGTATATAAATATATATCATATATATATTCAACCATAAAAAAGAATGAAATCTTGCCATTTACAATGACATGGATGGAGCTAGAGACTATTATGCAAAGTAAGTCAATCAGAGAAAGATAAATACCAAATGATTTCATTCATATGTGGATTTTTTTTCTTTTAAGTTTATTTATTTTGAGAGAGTAAGAGAGCACAAACAGAGGAGGGGCAGAGAGAGAGGAAGAGAGAGAATTCCAAGCAGGCTCCATGCTGTCAGCACAGAGCCCAACACGGGGCTCGACCTCATGAACCATGAGATCATGACCTGAGTCAAAATCAACAGTCGGATGCTTAACTGACTGAGGCATGCAGGTGTCCCTCAAATGTGGAATTTAGTGAACAAAACAAATAAGCAAAGCGGGGAGAGAGAGAGAGAGAGAGAGAGAGATATCAAGAAACAGACTCTTAGTTAAAGAGAACAAACTGATGGTTACCAGAAAGGAGGGGGAATGGGGCGAGGGGTTGAGTTAAATATATAATGGGTATTAAGGAGTCCCCTTGTTGTGACAAGCACCAGGTGATGTGCAGAACTGTTAAGCACTATACTGTATACCTAAAATGGTTTATCAACTAATTGGAATTAAAATTAAAACTAAAAAAAAAAAGAATTTCTTTACAGTTCATCTTTTCCATTAAGTTTTCAACAACTTTCCTCTCAACTTTCTAAAATAATTTCTATGATATCAGAAACATAAAGTGTCATACGTAGCCTTGTGTCATTGCCTATTTCATACATAGAGATCTTGTATTTCCGCTAAACTATAAATGTTAAAGATATTTGTTCCTTGTCTTTTATCTTATAAACTATGTGCATTAAGACTTATATACAATATCATGCAAAATAATATAAACAATATAAACAAAATCTAACTAAACTTGATATCAATCAATTTCCTGGATAAAGAAGCTAGCTCATAACACTGTCAGACATAAGGCAGGAACTCGGCTGTCCAAGTTAAAAACAATCAGGAAAAAATCTCATCAATATGTCCAAGTACTTTAAAGAACTCTGTGTCTTCAACTTAAAAGATGGTTGTTGGGTTTTTCCAAAAGCAAAGTTATACTCAAGAGATTCATTCCACAAGATTTCCAGATACTTCTAATGAAACTCTGAGATTAACTACATATTCTCTGATCATCAAGATTTACTGTCCCTTGCGGTAAACATTGACTTCAGCATTTGCTTGAGTCAATACTTACCACTCAGGTCAATAAATCTTGATGTTCTCTTCAACAGAAAATAATATTTGCTTATATCTGCTTAGTATTGTATTTCACTTGCATTACCTAAAACTGAGAGTGTGCCAGTCTCCCAGAATGGAGTCCTTACGAGATCAAAGTTAAAAATGAACGATGTCTATTCAATCACTCTCCCACTCATTAAGTTACATTAAAAGCTGCATCCTGATTGCCTGGAAATCATAAGCTGGTTTAAATGCACAGATCTATTCTCTAAATCCTCCAGCTACATGAATAGAGTCCCATGGATTAAGCTTCATTCTACCATCCCAGCCCCAAGGCTATAAAATCTGGGGTTAATCATAATATTAATGTAAGCAAAAAAAAAAGGGGGGGGTGGTGCTTTAAAAAAAGCAAGTCATTTTCAATCTCTGCCATATCTAGAAATGAGAAGTGATCACTTGCGAGGCAACAATTTTGAGAAATACTATGTGAGTGCTTACCATATGCCTGGTATTGTACTTACTTTAGTTGCAAACGGCTTCACTTAATTGTATTAACTTATTTAATCCTCACAAACACTATGAAGTCTGTACTTTTATCTTCATTATAATTTCATTCTTATATTCACTCAGCAACAAATATTATATTAAGCATTTTCTATGTGCAGGACAACTTTAGGTGCTGGACAGGTAATGGAAACAAAACACTGTCTCAAAGAACTTATACGCATAATGATGGAAACTAATCACGTCTTATGGTCGTCAGCAAAATGAAGAAAAATAAGAGGCTTGAGGGGGTGGAGGTGCTGCTATTTCATATGTGGTGCTCATTAGCAAGGTCAAAAAGGTATCACTGATGGGGTCAAAAAGGTGACCCTCTGATGAAGACCTGAAGAAAATACGAGTGAGCTATTCAGCAATATGGGGAAGAGTCCCAGGCAAAGAAAACAGCAAGAATAAAGGTCTTAAGATAGGGACACGCTAAGAAACAGCATAAAGGCCTAAGTGGGTAGAGTAGCTTAGAAGGGGATGATTGTAGAAGATGAGGAAGGGCCACAGTTGACAACCCTAGCTGCCACTAATTCACCAAAGGAACTTATACAACAAAGATGTTCCACTACCCAGTATGAGAAAGTAAATTCAAAAAGCTTTTCTGACAAGAGCAATTAGAAAAGCTGGACAAAAGTGTAGAAAAAAAGATCTATTCCTGGGCACTAACGAACTGTGGAGTCAAGATCTGGGAGATAATGGAAACCCTGCACCTAAAGCCACATTTCCCCTAGGGGCATCTACCAAATCTATAAGAAGCCACCAAGAACTGGACACAGTAACTTTTAACAGGCCCTCAGATCTCAGGGGTCTAAAACTGAAGCTCACCCAGCAAAGACCTATTGAACCCCCCACACTGGGGTCTGGGCCTCTACTATGTCATACGCTGGAAGTAAATAAAGTAGAAACAGTCTGGATCTCACATGGACTAAAAAGTCCAGCTTCAAATCATCTCAATCCTTGATTGCATTAAAACGATCCAGGACTGCCAATTCCACTAGCCAGCTCTCAGAAACAAATGTAAATCCTCCAAGATACCATTACTCTAGGTTTTAAATTCTCTACAACTGTTCATTTTACAGTCTCCAGCACTCATAATAACTAGGTACATGGGAAGACAAGATGTTGTGATTAAAAATCAAGAGAAGGAGCAGACAACGTGAACAGACCCAAAAGGGACGCAGATGATTGAGCTTTCAAAAACACACTGTATTAAAAAGAATGATCAGAATGCTTTAAAAAAAATTAAAAAAAAAGACAACAAGAAGAATTTCTGGCAGAAAATCTGCATATAAAAGAGCCAAAATTCTAGAAATGAAAAATACAGTATAAATTAAAAGCTGGCAGACCTATAGGCAGAAATAGAC